AAGGGCAGCACGGCACGGTCAGGGCACACGCACACTCGGGGATGTGGATGTGCGAGGAGGAGGGAACAGCAGAGTCAGACGGCCCACTCGGGAGAGCATTTAACAAAAACCATCTCAGATTTCTAAACACCTGCGCGGGTGGGAGGGAAAAGTGATGCCAAGCCCAGACCGATGTACAGGTCAAACCAGTAATTACACACAAGCAAAAGCCTTTGAGCAGTCAGGGCCCAGGGAAAAGCTCCAGTCTGAGAGCACAGCTGAGGGGATCTCCCCCAGCAGCCAACTGGGCCCCTGCTGAAGTCTGTCATTTCCAGCAGCTCTGCAGGTGTCACACAGACTTTCCTCCTGGCAAGGCTGTGTCAGCTCCATTAGCCATGTCAGAACAGAGGGTTCCCTCCCAGGTCACTGCAGCAAACAACGTGTCCTGCAGGGTTTAAATTCATCATCATTGACTCTTTAACGTGTCATTAAATGCTTTACAGCAGCCCTGTCCCCACCAGGTGTGAGTGCTCCCCGGGACATGCCTGCACAGAAGGCAGGAGAGCACAGCCCAACCTCCCCGAGCTGTGCTGCACACCCCAGGACACCCTGCAGGGACACACCCCAGGGGCTCTGGGGCTCAGAAATAAACACCACATCGGAAGGCAGAGAGTTGCACTTACCCCATGGCATCACTCAGCTGCAGTCAGAGATTTCTGCCACAGCCTCCAGCCCCAACACTCACAGGGCACTTGATCCCACAGGGACTGCCAGAGGCTTCACAGCTGTGGGGAGAGTCACAGCCACAACATTTCAGCACAACCAAAAGAGAAATAAAACCCAACATGCCTAGAGCTCCATTTCTGCATTTAATACTGACATGGATCCCAGGGATGCCACGAAGGAAATACATCACATGCTCACAGACAATGCAGCATTGAAAAGACATTCTCCAGCATAGAGGTACAAAGATATATATCCCATATCACATTTAAACACTACTCATGTATCCTTGTGGTCTCTAGCATAATAGGTGCTGTTAGATGCTTTAATCACCACCAGCCAGCCACTGTCAGATGGCAGAAGGAAAGGAGCCCGAGGAGCTCTGTGCCATCACTGCTGTGAGGCTCAGTCTGCCACCAAACACTGGTGCAGGTTCTTGTACAAAGTGCTGTCCAGGGAATACCAGAGACAGGAACTGTTCCCTCCTAGATTGGATTACAGCAAAAATTCAGGTTTATGTTCTCTTTTTCCAGAAATCTGAATGTCTGGATGAGGGTAAAATCTGCACAGCTGAGACAGAGGATCTGCAGACAGGTCACAAACTGAACACAGCTGAAATCCAAAGGCAAGGGCAACACTTGGCACAGTGTCTCAAAGATCCAACACATCTGTTCCTTCACTGGAAGGACATTTACTCCTCTGTCATGTAAATGATTATTAACTATACAAAAATGCTCCAAAAGGCTTTTCCACTCTTTTTTATGCAGCAGCTTAAACAAGGACACTTTTTTCCAGCTATTTTAAACCCTCACTCTGTTTTATGAAAGAAGCAGCACTGTAACAACAGCATCTTCAGATGTTCATGTAGAAATCTGATATTTGTTATTCATGTATTTCCTTTGTTAAATACTTACTTCAAAATACCCTTTACTACGTCAGGCACAGACCCACGAATGTGGATTTCTCTTCACAGCTTTAGAAAATGAAAACTTTCTACTAGAAAGCTAAACAGATTAACTAGCTGTGCTAACCCCCTTTATTCTGCCTTTCTGACTCATTTGTAACAAAATACCTTTTGCTTTCTAATCAAATTTTACTCCTTTATTATTATTTTCTTCTGTCCTCCCCCGAACTCAATATACCAAGACCAGCATAAGCTTCGCGCTCACATCAATTAGAAGATTCCTGTTTTGAGAGGCAATTTCCAGGCCTCCAGTCCCTTTGCTCAGACTGGCACCAGCAGCCCCCAAGGCTCTGGTGTCCTGCCTGGGACCTGCCACTGCAGCCCCCAGTCCCCAGAACTCCTCATGTGTCCCCAACACTGCAGAAAGGCAACAATGACTCCATCTAAACAAGCAAGGCTAGAAAACCAAGGAAAAACAGAGCATTTATGCTACCTTCTGATAGCTTTGTGGTGAGGGTTCAGCTTTCCCAGAGGAGCTGTGCCTGGAGTGTGCCAGTTCCCAACTGCACAACTCCCAGAGCAGACACCCGAGGCACTTATGCACAGAGAATGTCTGTCCAGCACCAGCCACACCTTGTGAGGAGTGCAGGACAGTGAACATCAGGGGCCACGGATCATTTTCCATCAAGAGCTGATTCTTTGCCTCTCAGAAAGGTTCTGCCTTGTTGCTGTAAATCCTGTCCAGCTCCATCCACACTGGTACTGGTAAGACAAGAAACCTCTGTTCCCTTGCACATCTGGGCAATCTGCCCCTGAGGAGTTCGGCACTGCCCAGGGGAGAGGTCTAGCATGAGCCCCCAAACACCAGAGTGCTGAGGAATCCAGTGCAGCACAGAGCTCCCTAGCACACATGGCACGGGCTGCCTGGCCAGGGGCACAGGCACACATCCAGTTGCTGCTCCATGGCCACCAGGACACACGTCACATTGGTTCTTTGAGGCTGACAGGGAGGACAGGTCTGCAGTTCTCTGTAGAATTGTTCTCCCTATCGGCCAGGGAAAAAGACAAAGCTGCAGAGTTCTGAGTAGCCTTTTGGCCTGCAGGTTTTGAATGACCACAGCTGAACCAACACTGCTGCCCCAGGCAGCTCCTTGCACGTGTCACAGGCATTCTGTGGCTCCAGCTTGGCTCTGGACACTCCTGCTGCCAGGGGCCCTGGCACACCCAGAGCACAGCACAGTCCCTCAGCAGATGATCTTCAGGATCACCACTGCAGTGTTTCCCTCTGAGAATTCCAAACAAAGAGGGGCTGACACTCCCTGACAGACCAGAGATAAGAACACCTGCTGATCCTGACTCAGTTAATACATTTTCAGGCACTTGGTAATTGAAATCCATTGTCTAACAGGCAACTCATGTCTCTATATAAGAGGAGCCATGGCCAGGATGTACTCACACAGCACCCACAGCTACCAGGAAGACCTGAAAGCTGATTCTGCCTTGTTCCACCCTGGTAAATCCAGCAGCTTTCCTGACACAAGGCCCAGCTCTAACACACATCAACTACCAAACACCAGCCCTGACCCCAGTCACCTGCAGCATGTCTGTGGACAAATAAGCAAGTGAATTCTGTCATGTAAGACACTGCTCTGTATCACACAAAAGTCTGAGACTTCACTCTTATTCAGGAGCTTTCCAGTCTCTGAAGTTCGAGGTATTTTGCCCTGCAATCCCAGTGCTGTAAAAGCTCTGGTGCCTCCAGAACACAGCCAGGCTCAGGCTCAGCCCTGCTCACTGCAACAGCCACAGGTTTAGCTGATGCACCTGGAACTCTAGGGCAGCAAACCCTGTTGGTGTACTGATGAGGGGCCAGGGAGAACACCCCAGTCCAGCTGAACTCCCAAGTTCACTGCTTCAGTTTGAATACAGCAGGAAAACCTCACCTGGAGTCTGATCCCCACTCCCAGGGGTACCACTGTGCCCTGACTGCACTGCACTCTCATGCCCTGATCCACAAGGGATGTGCCTGTCCATGACTATCAAGAGTGACAACAGCTCTGGCTCTCCCCCAGTTTTACACCTGCTCTTTATGATCCCACACTGTACTTAAACCATTACTTAGAGGAAAATGCTCACAGTCCCACTATTTTGTATTCTATCCTAGGTGCAAAACATGACCTTTTTTCAAACCAACTACATTCCTCTCAAACAGGAAATGCACAGTGACAGGCATTTTAAACAAGTACTTCTTATTTATTCACAATTTAGATTGAGTTTAAGGAAAGACAAAAGAAATACAAAGGACAACATCAAAATGAAAAGGAACTTTAGTGACTGAAGTGAGTTTCTACAGCCAGTGCTCTCCATACATTTCAAATGTGATCCAAACACTGCAGGTTTCAAATAAATCCCATACCAAACTGCTATGACTATTCCCTTTGGAATTAAACTGGGAATGGAAGGTAGCCACCTTTAGCTATGAGTACACACACCACCAAATTCTTTCAGCTTCGGCTCAAAACCACACTGATCTCTTACAAGATGGAATCTGCAACACGATTTCAAGCAGCATTTTTCACTTTGTCTGAGCTCTGCTACAAACAAGTCAGTGTGTAACAAACCAGGTTTGATCTCTGTGGAGGATCTGCAGTTCAGAGCAGAGTCACACTGGCAGCTTGGAGGTATCCCTGGAGATACTGCAGCGCTTCTGCGTTCAGGCTGGTGCTCAGCATGGAGGGGACCTTGAGGCACAGACAGAGCAGAGGTGTCAGTGTGGGACACACTAACCCACTGTGGCACCCTGTTAACCACCTGTTGCAGTGACAGACACTGAGAGAACAGTAATCTGTGGGGAAAGCATCTCATCTTCACTTACCAAAGCCTTGAACCAAACAAACACACTATGGGTCCAAATCTACCTGTAAACTCAACTTGTCCAATTCTGTATGAGCTGCCTGAATTTCCTGAACACGTGCAACTGAGCTGAGACAAGTACTGGTTACAGACCATTGAGTGGGTAAACTTTCTTTAGGAAATGGCATATTTAAGCCTATTGCCAAATTAAGTGCTGTGAAAATTTGGCCTTTCTACGGCTACTAGAGCAAAACCTTACAAAAGTTATGTTCCAATCAAGAGAATGACAGAGCAGGATCTTGCATTCTGGTTATAGCACACTTCATTTTGCTGACTATCAAACATGAGCAGAGACCCAGAAAGGCACTTGTCTCTGCAGAATGCAGCGCTAGCACGTGAGGACACAAGTACCTACCCTGCCTGGGCATGCTGTAGACAGCTTGTGGAGGGACTGTGCCAGGTGGATTCTAGGGTTGTTAACCATCTGACCTACTGGATCGTGTTCCTTCTTCCCAGCAAAGGCTAGTTGAGAGAATGCAGTCTGATAGCCAGGAGTATCCTCGATGTCAATGAAGTGCTCCTCGTCAGGGATCGTGTCATCCTCAGGCAACTCAAAGAGGCCAATGAGGGCCTGCAGCAGAGGAGTCCTGGGTGAACAGGGGAGGGTGAAACTGGAGTGCTTCAAGTACATTGGGACAGGGTGTATTTTACCAGAATGCTCAAATCACTTGGAACCCCTTTATAATTCAGCCTTTGCAGGTACTTGCTTAGCTACTGAAACTGTAAGTGCCCCTGGAAAGCAGCAGCAGAAGCACCTCGGGTCTGTGTATTTCACAGGCACAATGCAGGGGCTCCTGTCAACAGCAGGAGCCACATATTTATGTCTTGTCAGGTCAAACGGGCACGAAACATACCTAAGAAAAGCCATTCTTTTCCAGATTGCAACTTTCCCCTAAGTACATTCAAAAAAGAGCTGTAGTTCAGGGATCCACTTAGTGCCATTCACCTCAGGCTACCTGACATCCCAGAATGCTAGACTCGCTTACAGTCTCCCCAGAACTCCCCCCTTGGGCCAAGACATTCAGTCTCTGTCAGGTTATGAGTATGCTCAGGTCTCCTGACTAGTTGAACAGCTGTAAGTCAAAACTGGGCCGAGGTTTTCAGAAGGAAAACAGCTGAAAGAAAGATGTATATTCTCTTAAATGCAGTTCCAGCTAGCCAGACCAGTGCATCCAACACATCTCAAACCAGTTCTGGCATGTGCTTTGAAAATACAGTTCGGTTTGTTGAGAAGAGAAAGCAGTGTGAAAAGTCTAACACTCAGCCCCACAACACCAGTGGCCTGAAGAAACCACTGTGGAGCTTATCTGAAGGATCTGTTTTGGTGAGAGCTCAAACAGCCTCACCAGCAGGACCTGAAGAAGGTTCTGGTACTTACCACAGCTTGGTGTACTCAGTGTCCATCATGGGAGGACATTCGGTTAGTATTTTTGTAATGCCAACAGCACAGATTTTCTTTTCCACTTGTCCAGACACTTTCTGGATATCAGGAATTATAATTTTCTCCAAAACCATTCCAAACATCCTATTATGACATTGGGAGAAACAGTATTAGAAAGCAAACCAGAAACAATATGAATCACTAGGAAACAGAGACAGGCAGCTAATTTGCTAAGATGTTCTGCTGCAGCAGAAATTTGCACATAGAAACTTTTCACAAAGGATAAATACTGAAGACATCAGTCCCTCTTTTCCATGACCTGCTTAGGAGATTAATAACTTAACTATCAGTGAGGAACTGTGGGCAAGAAATCAGAAAACTTGCTGGATAAATAACTGAAGCACACTAGGAGGAACATTTGGCCACTCAAATTAGTGACAAATGTGGTTTGCCAGTTTAGCTAAGACAACTCTTTCCTGCTTTAAAAGCTAAGAATTACACAGCAGTCTGAAATGCAACCCAAAGAAGCCAAACATACGAACTTTGGCTGTATGCTGTCAAATATCTCCTGCAGAGCTAACGCCCCATACTTGATGCAGTACAAGTTAATGAAGACCAGGAAACCTGTAACAAGAAAAGGTCAAAGTAAAACTCGACAGGCAAACAAAAGAACAGTCAGCAGCAAAATGCACTAACAAGTTTTTCCAGGGCACAGAAACGGCAGTCTTTGCAAATGCTCATTTTGAGTGAAGTGCATTATTTGCTACCCTGAAGCTGGCCTGAAAGCTGCTGATCCTGTCAGGCAGTGCAACACTAGGACATGGCAGTATGACTCCTGGGACAGGAGTCATTCCCTTCTCCCCTTACAGCACTTAGAAAGCATTAGAAAAGACATTTGCAAATTTGTCAGATCAAGAACCAGCAGAACTCACTGACACACCACTAGATGTAACAACAGCAAGTGTGGTCAGTATTGCTGTGAGTCTGCTGGTGTTAGCTGAGGATGAAATGAGATGCTTCCAAGTAATCAGGGGCATCACATACCATTACCACATGCCATCACATAGGACAGGAAGGGACAAGACTTGTGCATTGGTATCCTATGTCCTTTCCCTCAGTTTTTATGGAGTAAGTGTCATACTGCCCTGTATGCCCCATGATGACACAAATGATTTGGAGCAAGTCCCTGGAGTCACCAGGATCCCTCACCCACCCCCCACAGGGCACGACAGACACCTGCTCCACACAGCCACGCGCTGAGCCCACCTGTGCTGGAGCTCCTCACACAGCAAGCAACTTACTTTTAATAAACTTGGTTGTTTTGGAATTTTGAAGTCTTTGGAAGAGCAGAATGAAGATTTGTTTCCTGTACTGGTCAACTGATTCCCTGGAAATTTGAAAGAATAGTTTTACTAGGGTTTCACTGATGTCACTTCACAGAAAATGTGTAGAATTGTTCAAATCTACTTGATCAATGTGACATTTTGGTTACATTAACAAACTAACATTTGTTAATTGAAGTTTACAGAAGTTAGTTTTGAGTGTAATTTCAGCTCATACTCACGGGGGCATGTGCTCTATGATACTGTTTAGAAGATAGAACCCTTGGTGATCGTTAGCTTTAGAGGCAATCAGCTTCTGGAACACACCTAACAATCCAGGCTGCAAGAGAAACAAACAGACTCGAGACAACAGCTCTTCAGATGTGACTGCCAGATGTCAGTTGGCCCTTACCATCTAAGACACACAAGGCAAAAGCTTTCACAACCTAAACCAGGATTCCATTTCTGCAGGCCAAGTCAAGGAAGACATTCTGGCTCCTTTTCACTCAACTCTTCTCAAGACTGCACTGAACAGAACAGAACCCCTGAGAGTTCTGATTCACATGTTCAATGTGAGGCGAACAAGACAGGAAAATTGTAGAAACTTTGCTTGCAAAAACTAAGTGCAGGAATTTTCCACCTCAGCTGACATAAGCAGAACAGCCCAGGATTCACCTCCTCCACATCATGGAAAAGCACCCAAAAAGCTGCACTCAGAGCCATTTGTTTGTCTGTATGTGCATCACTAAGGCCAAGCACAAGCCCCAGTCCTGCACAGATGCAGCTGTTCACTACAGGGAGCAGCTCCTTCGGCCACACTCACGATTTTGTCGGCGGCCGCGCTGGCAATGGTGCTGGCTCCTCGCTCCAGGTAAGCCTGCAGCAGCCTGACCAGGGGGGGAATGTTTCCTGTCCTTTCCCACAGCACTGGCTGAAGCAGGTGAGGAAACAATGCCATATAGGATGATGGGATTTCATTTTTATGCATTTCTAGGAGCAGGGACATCACTTGAAACACATATGGAATGAACTCTGGAAGAGAAACGATGACATTTACAGTCAGACAACATGGTCGGTCAGTTCCCAGAAGCCACATCTGTCTTGACTGAACCCACAGTTCTGTGATATGAACAAAGATGCCAACAACCAACATCTCAGAGAAACATGTCCCCTCTCGTATGTAAGTACTCCAAACACTGGAAAGCATTGTATATCACAATTCCCATTTCCTCTGTCTCAGTGTCCCAGAACACTGAAAACAAACTCCTAGAAGCAAGGCAATAGAGTAAGAGGCTCTGGAGCAGTGACTGCCAGACAATCTGAACATGCAGGCTGATGTAACCATCAGAGCATGCACCTGATGCACCCAGTGGAACAACCTAGATGCCCCCGGACTGCGCCCGTGCTGTGCTGTGCCCTGACTCCC